GAGCACAATAATTTAAGAGCACAATAATTTAAGAGCACAATAATTTAAGAGCACAATAATTTAAGAGCACAATAATTACCGAAAAAGATTTTTTTAAGTATAAAAGGACACAAGAGTAAAAGAGTAAAAACGGAAATATGCCAGAAGTTATAAAATTATCAACCACAGTAAATAAAAAGTTTGACGATATTCTACGCCGTCATGCTTACATTATGAGATTGAACCAGAACGAAGTTTTAGAACTCTACCAACAAGCCTACCTTGAAAAAGTGGAACACGAGAAACTAGACAAACGCCTAAATAAGGAACTCCGGGAAAAAGGCCAAGTCAAATGTTCTTACTGTTCGCAAACAATAAAAAATAATATTTAAAAAATATTATCATGCGAGAAATAGTGATTATTAAAACAGACGACAGCGAAAAATTAAAAAGCCTTTTAGAGAAGGGAGAAATAAATTACTCCGTAATTTATGACGACATTTTAATTGATAATGAGGAGGAAGTTTGACGCCGTGATATTCGTTTAGCTAATAAAGACGAGTTAAGGAATAAGGAAATTACCGAATTAGACGCAATAAGCGACGAGGACGATTGAGGAGACATAAGCACTAATGACGAAAATTGAGGTTAAAAGAGGGGATATTTGAAAAATCAAATATAAAAAACGGGATAGCATGGGAACGGAAGTTTACAAAACCCGCCCCGCTGTTATTTTCTCCACGGCTTTTTACAATGAAGAAAGTAAAAGAATAATTGCTTTACCTTTAACTCGCACAACTCAACCCTTATATAAGTGAGAAATCCCCGTAGTAGTTAACAAGACTAGGGGAAAAATCATGGTTGACCAAATACGCAGTTTTGATAAGGAAAGCCGTTTAGTCGGAAAAATTGGAACTTTGCCGAGTGAGATAATGGAGCAAGCCGAACAAATATTAAGCAAATTGCTAGAAATCCGAATTAAAAACCAACTCTAATTTTTTATTCCTCCCCTTCCTCTCACTCACACTTCCGACAAAGCCCACTATCAACACTAACCATCTTATTTTCGTAGCACTCCCCGCATTCGCTTTCCACTTCCTCTCTCTCCTCGTTTTCTTGCCCTTTCTCCAACTCTTTCACTCATTCCCGCTTTACCTCCTTCCTCGCTTCCTTCTCTTTCTCGCATTGCCAACAATCGCATTTAACCTTCCCTCGTGCCTCGTGAAACTTCGCCATCTCAATATCTTTCTCCAACCCTCGGGCCTCTTGGTTCTTGTTTTCCCTTTGCTCGGCTAAAAACTCATTCTCCCAAACTTTTTCCCTCGCTCAAAATCTTATAAGATTTTGTTGTTTTTCCTCACTTAAAGAGTTTCACTTGCTTTTCATCCCGCTTTCCCGTTTTGCCGTCTCGTAATAATCTCTAACGAGATTGCCTGCCAATAGTTGTAGTTGCTGGATTTGGCTGACATCACTAACATCATTCTCCACTAAATCCCGCATCGTTCACGCTAACTCCGTTCACTTCCTTTTCTTTTCGGCTCGTAGTTCGGTGTATTGCTTGAAACTCATCAATACCCGAATATTGTCCGTCGTGTAAGTCTGCCGAAAAATATTCCTCGCCTTTCGTTCTCTCTCGGCTTTTTTGCGGAGATAGTTTTTCCGTTGCGTTTCCTTCTTCTCCGTCTTGTGTTTTTCGTAGTAGGTAGAAAAGTATTGATGGCGGACTTTTTCTTGTTTTTCTTGGCTCTTTGGTGCTTTTTTCATAATATACGAAGTATATTATATATTTAATTATTCCACATTATTCCACACCCTCTAAAATAGATTTTAAAACTCTTACTCTGCAAGAGTATAAAACCTAAAATCTATTTCTGGCCTGCCCGAATTAAAAACTTCCCCTATTGCGTATTTTCTTTGGCCTTTCTTTTTTTTCTCCCATCTAATTACTTCGTAATTAGTGTGGAATAATGTGGAATAAAAGTATTATCTTTGTTGGATATTATGCTTATCTTTTCCCTTGGCTTTTTCTTTTGTGTGTAAATTATTAGGAGAGTAAAAAGCGTAAGCGAACGGGAAGCATTTGGAACGGAAAAAAGGTATCATTACACGCATGCGAGAAACCGAGAACGAGGAGACTGCCTTTTGGGTTGTTCTTTCGCGCGCGAGGCGGATTTTTTGGCTTTTCTCTTTTTCTTTGGCAATTTTTACAAAGTAAAAATTGCTTTCTTTTTCTCTTTTAGGGAGAAAAAAGCCCCTGGCGGGGCTATATATAAAAATTGGGGATTTACGGGCGAACCTTGGAAAGTTTTCCGAGGATTGTTTTCGTATAAAAAAAATTAGAACGAAAAGAAAAGCGTTTAACTGGAAAGGACTATAACGAGATAGAAGGGTTTTGCTACGAAAGACTAAATAATCAAAAGCCCAGTAGCTAATCATAAAAGAACTCGTTAACGTTCATACCGATATCATTCGAAAACTTTTCGTTCCTCAAAAAAAAGGAAAGAAACGGAACATCCAAACTAACGAAAAGAAAAAAAAGTTATAAATTAATATAACGATTGTTAGAGTTCGTTAGTTTTTGCGGTTGGCTCCGTCCAACCGTGGGAATTTTTTAAATTAATTCCCAATTACCAGAGTTGCAAAACTCCGCTAATTCGGAATAATCCGAAATTACTTCTTATTTTTAACTTTCTTTCTGCCCTTCTTGCCATTTTTCGGCAAATTGCCCCCCGCTGTTTCTTTCGTGTCCGTGTTAACTTCGGAAACTTTTTCAGATATAGGGGAAGTTTTTTCGCTTACTGGTTGAACCTTGTCCGCTTCCGCTTCTTTGGGCTCTTGCTCCTTTTTCTTGGTTAGGCTGTTTTTGGCTTCTTTCATGCCCGAAACTAATTCTTTAAGGACTGTGGCTGTGTCTTGCTTTTTGCGGAATATGGCGGCTAGGTTGCGAAACACTGCGGCGAGTATGCGGAGAACCCAAGAGAGAACCCACAAAGCAATAGAGGCGAAAAGTAGCAAAAGTAATCAACGGCCGTATAACTTGCTTTTTTTCCAAATAGCAGAGGTGCCGTTTTTGATTTCGGTTCCAAGAAATGTGTCGGAGTAATGCGTTAAGTTAAGAAGTCATTTAGGAACTCCACTTTCAATGGCTTTGTCTCGCTCGTTTCAAGCGGCTAGTAATTGTTGTCTTTTTTCTTCCAATAATCGGTCTTTCTCTTGGTTTTTTTTAGTTTCGTTTTCCAGGTAGTCTTCTAAATGGGTGATTTTGAGGTCTTTGACTGTTTTAGTGCTTTGATGAGATAGTTGTTCGCCTTTGAGGTTAATTTCTAGGGCGGCTTTTTGTCGTCTTAATATTTCCCCGTTGGCTTGTAATTCGTCTATTTTGGCATTTTTTTCGCTTATTTCGTGGGTTTTGGCCGAGGATAGTTTGAGTATTCTTTCCTTCTCTTTCAATTGGCGAAAATGTTCCTCGTCTTTGTGTTGGCTTGCCAAGGTTAATCTTAATACTTCGCTTTCGTAGGCTTCTAAACGTTCTTTATCATTTTTGGCTTGGGCTAATAATTCGTTCAACTTGCTTTCTTGGGCTTGTTCGGCAGTTTGTAGTTTTTTTTGGTATTCTTTTTGAAGTTCAACGGCTAATTTGTGGGCTTCTTCCTCGTCTTGTTCCTTTTTTACTTTTTCTGTTTGTTCGCGTTCTCGGGCTTCTTTCTTTTCTTTTTCTTTTTCCTTGATGAGTTCCGTGTTTTGCGTGTTAGCGTCTTGTAATAGTCCCTTCAATTTTTCTATTTCGTCGTCCTTTTCTGTTTTTTCTTCTAGCATGGTATTTCTAATTGCTATAAGTTTTTCTTGGGTTGTCCGTTCGTATTCCTCCACAATCTCCTTAACTTCATTCGGGAAGAGACTTTTTTCCAACAATTTTTTCAATTCGTCTATTTGGGCGGTTTTCATGTTTTCGGTAACTATTCCTCCAAAGGGTAAAAGTCCCAAAATACTGCCGCTAGTGTGTTGAAAAATAGAGTATCCTATTGAGCTTTGAAACTCGCCCGTTTTGGCTTCTATCTTGTCAAAAATAAGTTTGTTTAGTCCCGTTAGTTTTTGGCCTGCCTCTTTTCGCCGCTCGGGTTTCGTTCAAAAAAGTTCATTACTTTTCAAAAATGCCACCGTGGCTTCATATTCCTTGTTTTTCTTTTTCGCTCGGCGATTGTATTCTTCCAGTCGGGGAATTAGTTGTTTGCTTTTTTCGGCTCAATCATTTTCCTCCGTTTCCTTTCCTCAAACTTCCACTAATTTTTGGTAATCTCTTTCGTGCTGCCTCGTTAAGTTTTTTGATGGACTACTTTTTTTTCCTCGTTGTCCTTTTGGTGTTTTTTGTTCGTTTCCTTTTTCTCCATATTCAACAAAACGAAGGTATGTTTCGTATGTTTCTCAATCTTTTTCGGTAGCTATTGGTGCTTCTGTTTGCGTTTCATTTTTAATCAAACTTCCCAACTCTTTTACTACATCCATTTTTACTATTTCCTGTTCTTTTTCTTTCCCTTTTGTTGTGCCACTTGTCCCACTACTGGACGCTGTATTTTGGCTCGTTTTTGCTGTGTTTTTGTGTGTATTGTTCTCGTTCGGCATGGTCGGCATAGTCATGCTTCTTGTCGGAACTCTTTTTCTGTTCTGCGGCTTTTTTTCGTCAGTCATAATATATTATTATACTGTTTTAAGCACAATAATTTAAGAGCACAATAATTTAAGAGCACAATAATTTAAGAGCACAATAATTTAAGAGCACAATAATTT